GTAGGAAAAACTCTGCGTTTACTGCGTGTTATTCACTCAACATTCCCACAGATTTGCTTCATAACACAAGAGCCGAAGCATGCATAAGCAAACAGACGAACGCGCACGTGCAATAAACACAAGGCTGACGAAACAACCCGCTCAGAAAAAAAAAAAAGATTTTTTTTTTTTAATGCTCCCCTGAAGCTGAAATCGATTGCAAGCAGCGGGAAAACGAGGATCATTGTGGATTGAGACGTTGAACTTGACGCTCCATGGAGATTTCACGCGCTTTTAATTTCATAACTCACTCAAGCATGTAAGAAACTTAAAGACTTCATTCAGCAGGGTTCATTTGCACCGTTTTCAGAGCGCGCAATCAGAGGAAACCGGAGCTGGAAAACGCGCCAACTGAAGTCAATCAAAGCGGGATTTACGCACAAACCAATTTGAATTGTTCTGGAAATTTTTGGCTAGAACATTTACTTATCCGATTAAACAAATCAGGTTGAAAAGAAACGCATTTGGCTGAATTCATTGGCGTTTGAGTTGCGCGTAAAATCGTTTGCGCACTGAACTTGAGCGAGTCTAACGCGACGCATTCAGTCCAGACACACTGGATGGACTAATTATGTAACCATTTCCACATCTAGTTGGTCAGTTGGACGTTATGCATCTGCAGTAAATAATGCAAAAGCGTCAGCACAGGTCGGTACTATGAAAGAAAGTGTTTTTATGTTTCCTGACGCGAAAGTGTGTATTGAACTGATTCTCCATCTGATTTGATGGACGGGATTTGCTCTCTTGTTCACGGTTGTATTAGTGATCACGATCACAGACCTCTAACAAAAACAACTCGATCAAACTCATATATTTGTCTCCAACTCAACAGAAATGTGCAAATCACTGTGCGCAATGGGTGCTGGGTGGGGGATTTATCCAATGCGCGTTTAATAGTTTTTTTTAATTCTCCGAATACAGTGTAGTGTATTATTGGACTGTTTAGTTTAAGTTTGATTAGAGTTTGAAGTGATAAAAAAAATGAAAATGAGCCAATCACGCTCCTTTATCAGGCACTAATGTTTGTGTAAGGATGAACTGTTATTAATCAATGTGCTGGTAGTTTTCATGTAAAATCCCTGATGAAACTGATTTATTTCATCTGTTGCTCTCTTTATGGATCAGAAGAACCTGCGCGTGGGATTGATCAGATCGCTGTTCTCATCGATAATCAAAGCGCGTGCACGTGACACGGTGGCAGAGGCTCAAATCTGCTATTTGTAACCTTTAGGATTAGCAAATACTTCACAGAGGGAAAGGTAGAGATAACTTAGGTAGGCTATTGATTCCAATTGTGCTTATACAATGATTATTGTACAGGACACGAGCAGCGCATCGATTATCAGTGGATTTGGCACTGATGGATTGCTTGCGCTTTTGGTTGGATTCGTGAAATGAGGGAAAATGACGAGAAATAGAACATTTCCAACGCGTTTGACTGGAAATATCGGCTCGTTCGCACTTTACTCGAGGCTTTAATGACAGTGAAGCGGTTTCGTGAGATGCTGTGTAAACTGATGACCGTCTTTCGGTCTTTTTGAGTGCGCGTTACATGCAGACGGGAGCGCGCGTTGCATTTCCCGGGACGCGCAAAGATCACAAGATTTTTTTTTTTTAATTGCTACAATAAAAACTGTTAATTGCTCAAATGTTTCATTCATTTCAATGTAGCATATGATACAGTTAAAAGGTTTTTATTGGTGCTGTCAGTTGATATTGTAATACTTTCACATCTAATCACCAAAAATCATATAGAAACGACAATAAAAACTGTTAAATGGTAAAATGTTATGTACGTTTCTATATCATTTCAATGTAACATACAGTTAAAAGGTTTTTATTAGTGCGGTTAACCCCTTACTACTCGCCCCACGTTTTGGCAATCGAGTGCAAAATGACATACCCATAATAAAATGGTTGTTGCTAACTAGTCCTTTTGGCTACACACAAAACCAAGGTATCATTTAAAAGCTGACACTTGGCAGTTTACTATGAAAGACTTAAAATTGCTCTGAGCAATTACTAATAGAGAGATAAATAAGCTCAAAAACAATGGACGAGAATTTGTTTTTGTATAATAAATATTTATGAAAAAGAAAAATGCTTAAGGCAAAAATATACGGGCCTGGAAACACAAGCAAACTAAAGCCATAGGTCTTAACAATGTATGTTTCAAATTTGAAGTTTATACAAGCAAAAATGTTTTTTTTACAAGCATTTATTTCAGCGCCATGTCAGGGCACCTACCCAAAAAAGGCCACTTGGAGACTCCAAAGGGACACTTGGTAACCAACTTTTACCATGAGCTATAACAAGTTTTTTTGATCATTTCAATATATTTTCTTATTACAATACGACAAAGCACAACTTATATACTTTCTCTGGTGTATTGTTTACATCCTAAATGTTTATAAAAATGCAGTTATGTGCATTTTTGAAAAGGCTCCAAAAGGACCCTAAAGTGACATCTGGCAACTTGCTTATAAAAAGTATATATAACAAAGTCTTTTATTTGTTCACTACCATCCATTTAATGGTTAAGAATGACACATTATTTAGCAAATAAAACTTTTTTTATTTATACATCTGTATATAGTTACAAACAACTGTTTCTTAGTTCAGTGCAATCAACAGTGATACACATTTCTCAAAAGCCCCCCCAACTTTTTTTTGAATAAATAAATAAAACAAATGTACTATTTACAAAGTATTGCACAGTTTGGCAGTGCTGTTCTGTTGATGGTTTGTCAATTAGCTGGTAGTTCGTTCACCCGGTACATATACTCTCACAATCCCTATTGCAAATTAGCCATTCTGCACTGGACTAAAAAGTCACAGGAGGTTGTCATTCACACTAGAAGTGTCCAGCACACATAGAGGAGAGTTTTACCACAGGTAAGGACGGTTTGTCAAGCCCACTCGTCCACCCGGTACATATACTCTCACAGTCCCTATTGCAAAAGTGCTATCATTCTTTGGACTAAATATGAAGTCACACTAGGAGGTTGTTCTGTGCATGATAATCCATAAAGCAGTTCCTTTTAGGGAGGTAGCAGAAAGCTACATCACAGTTGTGACACTTCACAGGAGAATTCCAGTGGCACACCTTACATTTGCGTCTACCTGCCCTGCTGTCGTTGGTGATGTGCACGGGACTGTGACACCCACAAAAAGTATGAGAAGGAGGGTCAAAAACCTTGCTTTTGGTGGGATGTCCTGTCAGCTCCTGTCTCTTTCTTCCGTTCTTTCCTCTTGAACTTCTGGATGCAGCTGAAGATGTTGCAGCCACACACGGACGCTTGTTGTCCAGAGGCCTCTGGTACCCTCGCATCATCTGAAGTTTCGTCACTGTTGAATTACACAAAAAGGATTAGAAATACACCTAACATAACTGATTATCTTACACATAAATAAATATTATTGCCTTTTCAAATCTGAAATTCAAACAATCATTCACATACAGCAATCTACCTCTACACCCACTCTATTGTTGCCCTGATTGCACATTTACACTACCAGCTTACAGATTTTATATTCAAAAATAATTCACATACAGCAATTCTCCTCCATACCCACTCTATTGTTGCCCTGATTGCACATTTACACTACCAGCTTACAGATTTTTTTATTCAAAAGATCATTCGCTTACAGCAATTCTCCTCCATACCCACTCTATTGTTGCCCTGATTGCACATTTACACTACCAGCTTACAGATTTTATATTCAAAAATAATTCACATACAGCAATTCTCCTCCATACTATTGTTGCTCTGATTGCACATTTACACTACCAGCTAATAATGCAGACTGTAATCAGACAATAATAATGCCCTCAAATGCTATTTTTTAAATCTCACTAAACATTACTTTACTTGCTTCACGTTATTTGCTTACCACAAAGTGCTGGGCTGTCTCTTTCTTCCGTTCTTTCCTCTTGAACTTCTGGATGCAGCTGAAGATGCTGCAGCCACACACGGACGCTTGTTGTCCAGAGGGGTTTCTGGTACCCTCGCATCATCTGAAGTTTCGTCACTGTTGAATTACACAAAAAGGATTAGAAATACACCTAACACAACTGATTACCTTACACACATATAATTACATTTTCTTCTCTGAAAAGTTTGGTTTTGTAAACTTCGTCTTGCGTTCTAACTTACACACAAAACAATAGCCTATAGCTAACATTACATAGAGTAATATGTTCAATGTTGTATAGGGTTTCTTCTAATTCAGCGCTTGAATCACAACGAATTTTCACTGTTTTTCAATGTACTTAAAAGCCGCAATAGTGCAGAAAATCAAAACGAAAAAGCAATATTATACAAACTCACTAAAATGATTAGACACTTACCGATCTGAAACTGATCGAGACCTTCCAAAAACATATCCTCTTCTTCAAAGTCGACGCTGGATAACGTTACAGCACTCTCTTCTGAATATTCCACGCTTTCTTCATCACTGCTTCGCAGAAATTCCTCCAATGCAGCAGCAGGAGAAAATAACTTCTTTCCCCGCCGTGAACGCATTGCAGCAGGCTAATGTACACAGAGCGAGCGAGTGCTACTGTGCTAGCGCGAGCAGGTGACCTCTGTGCGTCATGACTGTCACGTGTGCGTAAATTTCCAGGGAAGCAAATGGTTGCGCTCACAAAGGAACACTGTTATAAACGCGAGATTATGCAAATCAGCACATGTGCGTATTCGTCATGGCATAGGCTTTCACTTTGGATGACAACACAACAGTTTCCATTGCTATTGGTTTATTTTTTACCACACATATATGCATTATGCATGATCATACGTCACCAAAAGCGTCTGACATCCTTCAATTCTTTCTAATCTTCTGGACCGATCTCATTAATTTCCAGACACTCTAATAAAAACACTGATATGTTATGTTTCATTGAATAATGCGCTAGATGTGGATAGTTCGTCGAATAAACGGGACAACGCCCTCGTGAT